ATATCAGTTCCCTGTGGAAGTGGCCTTGGGACATTTAAGAGTCAGATTATCTACTGAATGATTCTTAGAGTCGTCCTGGCAAATGGGACGTCATAGAGCATGGATGGCAGTGTCACGCTGTCGGTATTGAGGTCAGGCTGAGATGTGCGTCCTGGTGCTGTTGTTGAGTTCCTGTGTCATCTTGGAGCACTTACTGAACGTCTCTGAGCTTCAGACCTTCAATCGGTAGGATCCTGATAGCTTCCAGGATTGCTTGACAGATAAATAATATGATATCCACGCGTTAAGTGCTAAAGAGATGCTAAATATTATTGCTGTTCTTATTAGTTAACTCCAGAGAAGTGGGGGTGACAGCCAGGAAGTGAAGTGTGCTTCTGGAATACCTCCCAATGCAAACCCAGTCCTGCCTGCAGACACAGCCTGGGCTGCAGAGTACATCCGGCCAGAAGGCTCACAGAAAACCTCGTAGGTTTTAGATGCAGGCCTCTGCTAAAGTTGGGCCTGGCTGCGCCCAGGACCCCTGCAGAACAACATAGCTGTTTCTTGGCTGACTTTGGGAAACTAGAATTCTCTGAAGTGTTCTCCACAATAGGACGTCCCAGCACTTAACCAGGTTAGCTCACTGGGTCTCTAGCCTTACTGCCATCCTCAGCCTGACCTGGCTGACAAGAGTCAGGGTCTGAGACTGGATTTTCCTTCCTTTAACAGAAAGGCTGCTTAAACTTTCTGTGATGCACTAAAGCAAATTAATGCACTGGGTTCATCGGAATTGTAGGAGAGGTTAGTACGTGGGGTTAAATCTGCATGAACTTAGGGGCCAGTATGAAATGAATCTTCTATTTTGTGTTTCAGGCAAAATATCCTTAGTTTTTAAGAAAGTTTTCCAATAGGTTTGTTTGATCCCAGAGGTCATTGGAGGATCTACCCCGTGGCCTGAATGTGTCTGGTTATTTCTGGGCATCGGGGAAAACTGAACGTGTATTTCCACCTGCTTAGGCTCTTATGTCTTTGTCCCTTCTGCTTGGTTCAAACTTTCTTTACTGTTCTTAAAATGTTCTTATATAGAAATAGTATATGGTCATTGTGTGTGCAGGTACTGAAGGGTTGAAAAAGAAAACCTCACACCATAGTCCCAGTATTCAGAGACGACTATTTTATTTTTACTGTGTTCTCCCTGCAGTGTTCTTTCATTGTTATTTTTCATGGCTGAGTCCATACGACAGATGGAACTTCGTATCCAGGTTTCAAAGTGTAACATTTTAGTCCTAGTATTTTCTCATTCTATTAAAATCATGAAGATAAGCTGCCTTTTTAATGAGCGGCACAATGTATAATGCATGGCTAAACCCTGGTTTTCCTATCCCTGTCCTGTTGTTGGTGTCCAGCTTGCTTCTGGTTTGTCTGTCCATCATGTCTGGGGCCATGTGGGACCCCGAAAGTTTCCCCCAGGCCCTCTGGAGCCCAGGAAGCCTGGGAACCTGACTTTAGTGGCTGGGTGTGTTTTTAAAATCAAACAGTTTGTATGAAGTGAAGGGACTTTGGGGTTCGTGCACATCAAAGCGCAGCCAGCCAGCCGCTTCGGCGAACACTTTTGTGGCAAAACACTTCCAAATTGGTTCTTCTCTCCCCCCCCTTCCCCGGGTTTAGGCCACCAGCCAGACAGATCTGGAGAACTGGGTCACTGCCATCCACTCGGCCTGCGCATCCCTTTTTGCCAAGAAGCGTGGCAAAGAGGACACGGTCCGGCTCCTGAAGAACCAGACCAGAAGCCTCATTCAGAAGATAGACATGGACAGCAAGATGAGGAAGATGGCGGAGCTGCAGCTGTCCGTGGTGAGCGACCCAAAGAACAGGAAGGCCATCGAAAACCAGGTGCGGGTCACTTCGCAGCCTTTCCTCCCATTGCTCCGGTCACTCGCAGCGAACTCCGATGGGGAGCTGTTTCTTACACACGTGGGGGAAATGGTTTCTGCGGCTTCTTGGTTCCCGCACTTACTGGCTGCGCTTTTGCCATGTGGGTGATGCGATGTGCTTCGCTGCCTCTGGTGGCTGTGTCTGTGTGGTGGAACATCTTGTGACCAAATCTTGTTTCCTGAGGTTAAGTAGCGCCTTCTTGCCTAGCTGATTCTCTCATATATTGCCGCTTTCCAAACAAAAGTTTTATAATAAAATTACCGGAAGATTAGGCAGGTGAGATTCTGATACAGAGGATGGCTCTGGAAGGAGTGGTTTGGCGTAACACAGCTGTTCCCAAGTCTGTGGATTCCAAAAAAATAGTATTTTTTTCTTCTGTTTATAACCTATAAGATACTAAGGAAAATGCATTCTTTGGCCTGTTTCCACATTCAGATGATAATTAAACAGCTAGTTTCTATGCTGTTTGGATTTTAGTGGAGAGGAAGTAGCTTCATTTCTATTTTCCTTTCCTCGGACAACCTGAACACTTTGACAAGTGTCAGTGACATTTCTAGCACCTCTCTCTTCATTCAGGTTCCCCAGGAAACACACTGAGATGGAGATTTGCTTGTGAGGAGTTTAATGAGAATGCTCTCAGGAGTAAGGGCATGAGGGAGCTGGATTAAGGAGCGACACATTGAATTGTGCCGAGCTCGTCTCACGGGGGCTCGGGAGCTGGGGTGAGGGTGGGTGGCCTTTCAGAGTTGCTTGTAGCAAGGCACACCAGTCAGCTGGTCAAGGCAGCTGCCTTCAGTGGAGGCTGGTTTCCAGAGAGGGACCCGTCCATGAGCCATGAGCAGCTGAGGGAAAGAATGCCTCTTCCTTGAAAAGGGGGTCGGGTGATGCACAACAGTATCCACTACAGTCCCTTCAAAATCAATGTCAAGTGATCTGGGAACTTGAAGAAGACTAGGGTGAAGACGGGTTGTTGTGTTCCTGAATTTTCATCCTTTTTACTGGGTACATTACTCCAGAGAGACCTGGTTCTTTAAAAAATTCCATGGTAATACAACAATTTGGATACTCCACTAGATGCATCTTCCCCGTAGCGTTTGACTTAAATCACAGATTAAACAACACATTATCAATCTTCTACTTGTGTTTGATACATAATCTTGCTTAGAATGTTTTTCCATCTGCATGTTTGTGGAGAACTTAGAATGTGTGGGAAGAAATTTCTGACTGTTTTTAAGAAACTGATGAAAGGTGTGTATTCAAATGACATATTTGTGATCCACTAAGAATTTGGGCCATATCTTTGGCAGTAGTGGAATGGCCGAGTAATTCCCATCTCTTGCCCCCTCATTGGGTGTTTCTAAATGATGGCGCAGTTGAGACAGATCTTCTGATGATACCTGGTTCCATCTTTGCTTCTCCTTTTCTGATGTCCTGTGTTGTCTTTCTCCCTTCCCAATCCTTCCCTCTCACGAATTTGTCCCTCTTCAGATATTGACATACCCAACAGATGCCAGTAGCTGTAAGAAATAAAAATGATTATAAGATACGGATGCTGTTTCTGAGAGATGTATCATTTAGTTAGAAAGCAGGCCTTGGAAATGTGAAACTAAAGAATATTCTAGAATGGTAGAAATTAGGACTAACTGGCATAGTCGTCAAATACTATGAGAGACCAGGGGTTGAGCTTGTGTTGTGATCTTGAGGAAGTGGAGGGAGACTTCCTGGAAGGACATGGACTTAAAAAGTGGGTAAGAGGTGTGTACGTGTGAAAGCTAGTCCGGGCTGGGAGAAGGTAGGACAGCTTGGAGGTTTGACTGACCCGTGAATAACACAGTGACCCTCCGGCAGTCGAAAATCCATGTGTACCTTATAGTTGCCCCTCTGTACTCAACCAACCCCAGTCCTGTGGTATTGAGTGCTGTGGTATTTACTGCTGAAAAAAATCTGCATGTGAGGAGACCCAGGCAGTTCAAACCCTGTTCAAGGGTCAACTGTAGGAGTGACGGAGGGCCGGCCTGCGGCTCCTGGGCTCGGAAGGGATGAACAGCTGGCCGTTTGGTGGGACAGGCTCTCGTGCAGCTTTTTCAGCGTCTTAAATACAAGGCTGGGATATAAGGTATGTTTTAGCCTCTGGATCTAAGGGTGGAATGTAGGTTTTTAAGTCGGGGTGAAAAGCATGATGAATGCGTTATCTTTGGAAGGTGAATCAGGCAGTGGCTTGGCGGGCAGATTGAAGTGGAGAAAGGCGTCTGGTGGTGGAGCAGCCCTGCTCTGGGTGTGCAGTTACGAAGGCCTGGTCCGGAGTAACACGACAGAAGTTGAACCATTTGTATGGAAAATGTTCTCAGAGTGCATCATTTCCTATAATTTTTATCAAAGATAGTTTCCTATGTTCCTGAATTGAAACGTTCCTTCCTCAAACAGAACATCCTGTTTGTTTAAGGAGTACCGGCTTGCAAACTACAAACTACAAACTAGTTTTAACGAGGAACTGAAAAGGAAGTCGTAAAGGAGAATGGAGGGAGGTGGAGGGGTTTGGCGGGGTTGATGGAGTCACGGCTGCTGGACGAGGTGCGGGCATCAGGAGCTCAGCAACTTGTGGATTCAGGTGCCCCAATTAAAAGTCTCATACTGGCTGTAGTGGGGAAAGCTATGGTTTTGTCTTCCACTGGCTCTCTAAAATTTAGCTTCAAAGCCATACTTTAGTCTACCGGCAGGGATGCCCAACTGGCAGTTTTCAGGTTCTTGTATATTGTCAGATGTTTAGGTCCAGGGAGAGGAAAGGGAGGTTGGTCCACATTGAGAAGCTTCTGTCCTTTTTGTTTGGTTGTCTTCTTTTTATTCTTTTTCAAGAAGTCCAAGCAAACATTTTTTAAAAATTTAAACTTTTATTAAATGTAACTTTATTCCTTTTTTCATGGCTGGTAAATGCTTAATTAATTGTTTTTAAAATTTGCATTTCTATTAGGCATTCTAGTGTTTCTTGACTTGAGTGCAGGTTTGATGATCCAGCATGTGACTTATCCAGACAGCTTCTTTTTTAGGGGGAGGAGTATAGATAATTAGGTTTATTTATTTATTTTTAGAGGAGGTACTGGGGATTGAACCCAGGACCTTCTGCATGCGAGGCACGCGCTCTACCACTTGAGCTATGCCCCCCTCCCCAGTGATAAATTTATAATGTCAAAATTGGTACCCTTCTCTCTTGGAGGTGGGAGTTACTTTGACATAAACCCCTGCACAAATCCAAGGGTCTAAGGTGGTTAGTTGGCTTGAAGAGACGCTCTTGTAAAGAATTCGAGTAATTATTAATTGTGGCCCATTATGCATTCTTGGACGGGGTCATTACATCAGTTATTTTAAGCATATGTCCTAATGCTGCCAATTTTTCATTTCAGTCCTGCCCTCCCCCACCCCTTCCCCACTGCCCTCCTGCCACCTCCCCTTCCATAGACACATTCACCTCATTATCACATTTGTGAATTTCAGGTAAGAAACAGTTCGGGTTGATCTTCAGATGTTCCACCTGAAAATATTCTCCTTACCAATGCGGCAGTTGCTAAGATTGTAATTTGTTCGTATTTATTCGTATTTCCCAGAGGGCTTTGCGGTGGGTAACGTGAGTTCCACTTGCTGTGTCCGCTGCCCTTAACTCGTTTGCCAGATGGTTGTCAAGAGAGCTATTTGCTCTTTATTTGTAGACACAAAAGAGAAGGGGAAAAAAGCACATGCTTAGAATTAGAGTTACTTTTATGAGATGGTTTTTGACTGGAGAACGTTCTGCGAAGCTACAAAGGCAAAGATATTTACAGATCAAGATCAATAAGAACGGGATCTCCCAAATACCCCGTAAGTATATAGTTTTCTCTAAAGTGCCTTTTAAAAACTTCTTTAAAGGAGCAATGCTTTATCCAATTACCATTTAAAAATCTCAGCTTCACTGTATTTTATTTTCCATAAAAGAAATATTTATTTACAGAGCGCTTTCCCCCGGAGATCCCGGGGCGCTCACATATAGTCATCTATAGCCTGACAATGGCTGAACTTACAGTGCACGTTACATCACGCAAGATGAAGAGTCTGGAACAGATTTTCTTTGAAGTGCTTTGGTGGAAGAGATCATTGTCAAGGCCCTTGTAGATAAAAAGGCACTATCGTAGTAAGAGTGGGGACATGCTTTGCTTGAAAGAGACCATCATATGGCCTTGTCCCCGGGCCTTTCGGAGACTCTGTAGGGCAGAGCCTTTGAGCACATCCAGTGTGGAGCAGATCGTGCAGCCAGTCCCCATGTGGGATGCCTTTTGAAGATCAAGGGAGGAAGAGCTGTAAATTAAGTCTAGTGAGTACTTTATTTTCCTTTCCGTTTATTATCTCAAACGAGTAAACCAGGACAAAACCTCACCCTGCTTAGGCAGGCATGGCCTCCTCCCAGGCGACTCCCATGCACCGCCTGCCTTTGCCCCTTTCTCACTCCATTTGGGGGTGGGGTGGGGGTGGGAGGGTGTTAATTAGGCCAGAGAGGGGGGAGGTGGGCAGAGCAGGGGGGAGGACGTGGTGGGAGGAGCGAGCTCCCAGCCGCTGGGTTTGGGACTGCTCTGGATTTTGTGGACTGTGGGCTTCATTTTAAATATCTGCTTAAAGTTTCAAAATCATATAAAGAGGATGGATTGAACTTAGACAGTTGGAAACTGCAGTGAAGGCAACAAACTGAACAAAGCCTTGAGGAAAATGTGATCTGGGGTAAGTGTTGGGGGGAAGCCACTCGGGGAATAAAGCATTGGAGGGTATCTGTGACAGGGGTGGCGGGAGATCAGACCCGATGACAGAGCCACTGGACCAAGACAGGCGCTTCCTTCCGCGGGCACAGGGGAGGTGGTCAAAGCCGGAGGGCAGGAGGGGAACATTTGTTCAGTGCATACTCTGGGCCAGGCGAGCGTGCAGACTGGGAATTCGAAGAAGAGGCTGTCTTTGCCACAACGGTGCTCTCAGCCAAGCAGGGTGACAGCTGAGCGTATAATTTCAACATATAATAGAATGAATTCAGAACAAATGATATTCCAGAGTGTCGGGGAAGACAAGCATAAATGGGAAGCTGAACCTCCTGTGTAGTCACAGAAGACTTCCTGGAGGAAGGATGCTGGGATTGTTCCTTAAAGAATGAGTCAGTCAGGAGAGGAGTGGATAAGGAATTCCAGGCCAGGGGTCAGCATGAGCCAAGGCAGAGTGCTCGGAAGTGATGCGGTCGCCCTGGCAGTTTGAAGTTTCAGGCACATGACATGCAGGTGGTGAGAGAGGGAGGGGTAGGGAGGACTGATTCCTCTCTTCCCTGTCAGGCTGCAGAGGCTGCCGGGCTTACCTTTTCCTCAGATACATCTTCTGTTTAAGGCCAGAGTGTTTTGGTCTAAAAAGTGAATCTGAAGGGGGAGGATGTAGCTCAGTGGTAGAGTGCCTGCTTAGCGTGCATGAGGTCCTGGGTTCAATCCCCGGTACCTCCATTAAAAAATAAATAAACCGAATTGCATCCCACCCCACAAAAATAGCGTATCTGACCATGTGATTACTGGGTTTACAAGTCCTTCAGTGGCTCCCTGTTGCTTACAAGATAAAGTCCCTGACGACCTCTCCCCACCTTGACTTTTATCTACAACATCAAGCTTCCTGTGCTTGCACTTCTTTCTTTGGGTTTTTCCTCGGGCAGAGAGGACCCACAGAGACCACACATCTGTAGGACATGTGCCCCGTCCCCCACCCCTGGCATCAGGCTCACCCCGGCTCATCTGTGATGAAGGGTTTAGCACCTGGACGGAGCTGCCCTTGGGCCCCCTCCCCCCATTCCATCAGGGACCCTTCTGTACGCCCGTGCTTCTCAGGGGCTCTCTGTATCATGCATTGTTTTGTCATTGTCCCTTGTGTATAAGGTTGCTCCTTGTATGAAATAAGAGCTCCGAAGGGGTCTGTAACGTTGCCCTGTCTGTTTCGCTGGTACTTGGCTCCGGGTAGTGAGTGGATGCCCCTGCGTCTCCTTTCCTCTTCCCGGCAGTAGTCCCTCCCCAGCTCCTCACCTGCTCCTGGCTTCTCTCCCTGGGCTTCGCTCCTTCACTCCCCAGCGAACATCCTCTCTTCTGCTGCGCTGTCCACTTTCATGGTTTCTGGCTCTGCTTCTCGGGGCTCCTGTCTCGGGCCACGATCACGTATGATTCCACAACAACTCCATACGATCAAGTTGATGGGTGAGTGGGTAGACTCTGGGAGAGGTGAGGGGAATGTTCCAGTGTCACACAGCTGTCTTGTGGCGGAGCTGGAACTTGAACACAAATCTGCGCTCGTAGGAGCAGATCTGAGCCTCTCGGTTAAGACTTTTGTGAATCAGATCGTGCTTTGTGTGCTAAGGAACCACGTAATGAATGGTTTTCTCCAAAGTAGAAATTAATCCTTAATTTACTTGTTTTTGTAACTTGGATTTTTCAGCTTGATTTGATGGGAAATGTGTTTATTGTAAACATACTCGACAAGCAAATCTTACAGCATGTGAATTATATCTCAAAGGGGAAAACAAAACAAAACTGATTTTCTGAACTGTAGCAGGTTGTTCTAACTACCAGTTAACTTCAGTGTCTTCTGTGTTACCAGCTGGCTTCTTCTGCAGAGGCAGGTTTTAGTCCTTGGAAAATACTAGGGAGTGCATGGGAGTTTTTCAACTTGCTCTGCCAAGAAGGGAAAACGAATTATCTTTTAGGACCAACCTAGAAATGGACAAATGACTAAATGCTGTGCTCAAATGACTAAGCAGTAGAAAATATTTTTCTAGGAGTGTTGGGTGTGGCAGGAATGTCCTTGTCATCTTTTTTATGGATCACTTATTCATCTGTTATTTTTAGCGTTAGCCGCCTTCTCCCCCTCCCACTTTCTAGAGCAGACCGTAGCCCTTCTGAGCTCATTAAATAAATATAGCTGTATTAGTAACAAAGAGGAAACTTGCATTACATTTGTGTCAGTGTTTAAAAATGAGAGTTTTCCTCCTTAATTTTGTTGTCAGTAATTTGTCCTTTTACACTGAAGGATAATTGAAAAAAACCTCCTTTGAATGAGTTTTCTTCATTCATGTCATTTGTATGTTTTGTGCACAGACATTAAAAGAAATGAGAGCTCAATGTACATAGCAGTTGAGTTTTGATTTTCATGTCCTATTATTTATCTTAAAAAATAAATATCTAGGGACAAATAATGATTTCTATGGAATTTAGAATAAAAGGGGGAAGAAGTCTTGGTTTAAGGGAATGGATTTGGGGCATTTTTGGTTTGGATAACGTTAGAAAAAAAATCTCCAGAATTTCTCTGAGAGATGTGATGTCAGGTAACGTTACTATTTTAGTGATGATGATGATTGAAATTTACTGAGGGAGCATGTGTAATAGGTGCAAAACTGTCTTTTCTGCTTTTCATCTTTAAAAATGTGTCTTTATCTCATCTTTTGAGGGATAATTATAAAATATGTTTTTCTTTTAGGTTAACATGACTTTAAATTTGGGCTGAACATGAATGTTAAGGCTGATCGGAAGTGAAGGGGCAAAACCATTACACAAACGGGAGTGTGGACCATCTTACGTCTTCCCTGGGATTTGTGGGGAGAAATACGGTTGACAGTTAGATGAGGATCTACATGAAGGTTGCTAAGTAGTTCCTGGATGCTGCGCAGACACCTTACTTATGAGCAAGAGGGCCTGGGGTTCAGGGCTCTGTTGCCAGTACTCCCTAGAAGCTTGTTCCCACATGTTGTTCACATCTGATCAGCTTTGGACTTTGGCCAGCCTGGAGGGGCCAGCTTATTACATGAGCCTGGTCTAGTCACTTCCCTCCTGGGCGTCAGCCACTTCTGCTGAGAAATGAAGGTGTAGTTCCCAGTGCCCTGGCAAACACATCGTGTGTGTCTGCAGACTTTCCCAATATTACAAGGTCTGTTTTGAGCTTGTGGGTCCGGCCTTTATACTTCTCTCTTCCCTCCAAGTAACCCAAGCATCTGAATCTATTCCCTCCCTGTACTTTCATCTGTGTTGTCTTCCATGTCCTTCTCTGTAACAGTGATGAGTCTGTGGAAAGAAAAATCAAACATTTCCTTGTTTCTTATCCAACCACAGATCCTCATTTAACTTCTCCGACCG